CCAAAAGTATGACTACTCACATTGAAATAAGCTTCACAATGATATTCTATTTCAATATCAGCATCTAAAATTTCTCTTCTTTCTTGAAAATCAACTACAAATTTAGTTTCTTTTCCAAACGAGGGTGATTCACATGTATTCCAAAAAGTAACTTCAAATTCATATTCTGTTTCAAAACCAACTTCAAATATATACTCTGTTTCAATTTCATATTCATGAAATTCTTACGGGTGCTTAAGAGAAACCCTAGGATTCAATTCCTCTGTTTAAATTTCAATTTCATATTCACTAATTTGCAGTGCGTTCCACTTTTCAAAGCAAGATTAACATGCAGTATCAATTTGTATGTCGAAAATTACTCTTTAAAAAATCTAATTCAAAAAATGCAGATTTGGTTATCTGAATTTGAAGTGCATAAAAACGCAGCAAAGAAAAATTATACTCTCTAGGTAAACAATAAAGGGAGTGAGCACATGATTAAGGATAACAAAATTAGGTTTTTGAAGAAGGAAAAGCTGGGAAAAGAAGGAGAATTAGAGGAAGGGTTAATGAGACCCATTATCAAGATTAGAGAGAAGATTTACCTGGATGGAGTGAAGGAGAACAAGCCTTGGAGAAGCAGGAGGGTACGGGTTATTTATTAATAGATGGGTGGCCGGTGGAAGAGATTGTGGGGCGGTGGCGGTGGTGGGAAGTACGAGAGCGAACGGCGGTGGCGGTGAAGGAAGTACGAGAAGAGTGTGGGGAAGGAGAGAAAAGCAAGGAAGAAAGGCGGTGACGTGTGGGGAAGGAGAGAAAAGCAAGGAAGTGGTGACGTGGGTAAGGGACGGAAAAAGAGACGGGAAAAGAACTAAATTAACGGATGTAAACGTAGTTGGCTCTTATAATATAAGGGGGATTTCTAATTACTATTTACACGGTTAAATTTTAATTATTTTTTACTTATTTTTCGCTAGTTATTTGATAAAATAATATAGGTTTATAACCTCTATTAGGTAAAAATTTTGATGTAGTTTTTAATTTTTTTTTTAAATTTAGTATTGTTTTTAAATTTCTAATCCAACGCGTCATATTCAAAGTCATCTTACCATACACGTCATCTTCCAAATCTTTCCAATTCTGTCAATTCCAATTCTATATACTCCGTAGTTTCTAACAACAATGACTTCAAAATTTATTTAAGCGTATGCTTTAAATCATTTTTTTATTTAAATATTTTTTTATAATTATTACTATTTGATTATTATTAAAATTATTATGATTAGTACTCCTAATCTCCTATTATTCTTATTGTCATTATCATAATCACCATTGTATTTTTTGGGGCGCTCATTGTAATTAAAATAAAAAACTGAAGCAATATCACAATTTTTATAAACAAAATTATTTTATTGCCAAAAAAAAGTTTGTTAGCATTATAGGGTCAATATAAGAGATTTAATTGTTAAATGAATTAATTAATCATATATTCCCATTTCTAATTTTTTAATATTCAATAATTATATTTATTTGTTGATCAAGATAACGTTCGACTATTTATGTCAATATCTCGTTTAGTTAAGATTAAGGTGCTGTTTGTTTTTTCTGCAGAAAAAGGTCTGCAGTCTGCAGACCACATCTGCACACATCTGCAGGAGAAGAGGTGGGCTAAAGGTCTGCAGTCTGCAAGAGGAAGACTGTTTGTTTTTTAACTTCTGCAGATTGTTTAAATAAACTGAAATTTAAAATAAACAGATTTTTAAAGTAAAGAGATTTTAAAATATTTAAAAGTAAAGAGATTTTAAACTGAAATTTAAAATAAACAGATTTTTTAACTCATTTGACCATTGTTGTTTTTCTCCCATTTCTGTTAATTAACAAATAAAGAGCAACAACATGAACTACTACAACAATCATTAGCAACAATTAACAAATCTGAACTACAACAACAATAATCAACAAGAATAATCAACAACATGAACTACTACAACAATCTTTAGCAACAATTAACAACAAATTGTTCACGATTATATAAAAAATAAAAAACATGTAAAAAAATATTGTACAAATTCAGCCCTAGGTATATGTAAACTGGAAGATACAAATACAATTCAATTATATAAAATCTGGAGATAAATGTATACCAGATAAATTCAATTACTCTAAAATATGTAACTCAATTGATCTAATATTACCAATTGACTTTATAATGACCTAATTGAGCCCACTGCCCACCATTGTAGTAATTAAAATGCAAATGGCAATTGATACAAGATAGGCTAAATTCACATACCACTGAGGAGGAGGCCGGCGCCGCTGGAGTTGCAATCTCAATTGAGAGGAGGAGGCCGGCGCCGCTGGAGTTGCAATCGTGAATTGCAATCTCACAATTGCGAGGAGGAGGGCGGCACCGCTGGAGTTGATGAGGAGGGAGACGGACGCCGGCGGAGGGAGAGAGAAGTCGCGGAGGAGGGAGAGAGAAGTCGGGAAGGGAGGCGGATGAGAAGAGGGTAGGTTTTAGATCGAGAAGGGAGAGATAGGGAGGCGGATGAAAAGACTTGAGAAGCTAAAGGTTTATTTTGCTTGGGGAAGATGTTTGGAGGACGTTTTTAAGTGATTTGTCTTCTAAAAAACAAACAGTCTGCGCGTCCCTAATGTCTGCCCGCGTCTGCACGGCGCAGACATAAGTGGTTAGAAGCTCTTCTCAGCAAAAAACAAACACCCCTAAGTGTTTAAAAACGATGATTATGAGTCAACAATTCTTACTATATTTGTGGGTTGAAATAAAACTATTTAATATATAAAAATAAAAAAGATATAATTAAAATAAATGAAGTTTAAATTGTGTTTTGTCCTTGAAAAGAAGACAATTTTTGTTTTTTCTTTGTAATATTTTAATTAAATCATTTATACAAAAAATTTTATTTTGCAAAATGATCCTTAAACGTGAGTAACACTTCTATTTTTTTTAAAATAACACATTTATTTTATATTCAACATTGTAGTCTTGCATTTCTACTAGTTTTGACACAATTTTCATGTCCTAAATTACGTTCTTATTAATATTATATCTCTAATTTCAATATTTTTGGAGATATAGTATCATAAAGTTAGGTCACTTCCTTTTTTTGAAATATATCAGAATTACATAAACAAAACAAAATGGTGCAACAAGGTCCGTGGTCTAAAATCCGGCCTACACCCTTATACAAGAATCAACATGTTTGGCAATGATTATATTTTTACTTTTGTTAAATATTTACCTATTTCTATTTTAATAAAACTCTATGTTTTATAAAATAATAATATAAAATAATTAAAAAAATTATTATGTTTTTGGGTTTATTATTTTTTATTTTGTCATTAATATATATATATATATATATATATATATATATATATATAAAGAACAATTCTATTTCAAATTATTATAAACACACATATATACTTCGATGGAGAAGAAATGAATTATAAGTATATTTAATAAAATAAATACATCATTATTACTCTGTATTATTTACAATGTGTCACACATTGATAATGGTAATTCCGATAAATAATACTTTATACTCTCTACGTAATAACAATGTCAAACAAAATACATTTTATGTATAAGTTATTCTTTCTTTACTTATTATAATTATTATATCAAACATCTAATATAAATTGACCCATTACTTTATTTAAAAAATTATATTTCATTTATTTAGAAATTTTTATCGTGCTGCTAGGTCCGACCCGAAGCCTGCAAGTATCCATGTGAGCCGGGCTCGGGCTTCAATTGTTAGGCCTGTTATACGAGCCGAGCCAGGCTAGAGCCTAGAAAATTTTCATAATATAAAGTCTCGATCTGAAACCCAATTCCACCCGTATTTTGATCAGGTCTAGGTGTGGGGCACAGGGCTCAGTCCAAAATAGACGCGATTATAAGCTTGGGTATCCGGTCCACTTGCAAAAGCCCGCCCGCAAAATAGCGGGCTTGGGCTTGACGTTTTAGGGTACGGGCCGGGCTTGGGCTTGACATTTTAGGGTACGGGCCGGGCTTGGGCCTTATAAATGGTGGCCTTAATATTTTAAGGCGGGGCTCAGGTTTTATGCTCAAGCCCACAGGTTGACCCGCCCTGAATAAATTAAAATATTTATTATTAGAATAATTATTGTAAAATGCCAATAACAAAATTAATAATCATAATAATAATAAAAGAAGAATACTATTTCAAGTTATTATAAACACATATACATACATGGAGAAAAAAGTGCATTATAATTAAGTACATTAAATAAAAAGATAAATCTTTATTACTCCGTATTGTTTAGTAGGTTTCGCTCATTAATAATGATGTTCCAATAAATAATACTTCATACTCCGTACGTAGTAGCAATGTCAAACAAAATGCATTTTATATATATTAGTTCTCTTTCATTTACTCATTATAGTTATTATATTAAACATGTACGAAGTAATATATTAAACCTATTAGTTTATTTTTTTAAAAAAATATTATTTTTATTATTTAGAAGTTTTTGTCATTCAAACCAGGCCGACCTAAAGCCCGTGGGTATCCATGCAGGCCGGCTTGGGCTTCAATGGTTAGGCCAGATATAAGGGCCGGGCCGGACTCGGGTCTAGAAAATGCTGGTAATGTAAGATCTCGGCTCGGCCCAAAATGGGTTTGGAGCCAAGGAAGTAATTATGTACTACGTAGTACGTAGTATAACAGAAAAACACCGTGAGGGTAACAAAAACAAAGGCGAAAGGCAAACCACAAGTCCTCTCGTGTCTAGATGACCGGTCATCTGAAACGCGGCCTCTCTCTCATCCAAAAATATTACCCCGAGTATTAAATGTGAATGTTTCATCCCTCTGAATTCGTGTATTTTTTGTGTGTTTCTCAATTCAATTATTGTGTATTCGTTTGCTAGATTCTGATCTCTTGAGGAATTTGAAGCTTTGAAACCCTAATTTGAAGGGTTCCTTTTGCAAAATTCATATTATGTAGTTCATATCCCCTAACCGCCCGATAAACTGAAGTCAACTAAACTTGCACCCCGCAATTGACGTGAGTAGGGGATGAATTGGGGTCAGGATTGGATGGAGAGTTTACTATGGGGTATTGATAGGAACTATCAATCTTGCGAACCGAGTACCGTAGGGGTCCAGTGGCCACTCAAACATAATGGCCATATAATAGGACCCATTTGAAGTAATTGGAGTCTTAATTGTGTGATCTACATGCGTACCTGTAATTTCTCGTTTAATTATACACTGATTGCTTTATCTATCTATTTAATCCATGGAATGCAGATGGAGAGTGACAGTAAAAGGAGTGGGGAAGGGCCTGCGGAGAAACTTCCTCTTGAGGTTATTGAAGATATATTGTCTCGAGTAAGAATTGCACCGGATGTGATTAGAGCTTCTGCAACATGTAAGATGTGGCGAGAGGCTTATTGCAAACACCTTCATACACTTTCCTTTGGTGTTTCTAGTTTTAAGTTTCCCAAGGGCCAAGATTCTGTTCCTGACATAGAAATGTTGGTCACAAAGGCTATTCTTCAAACAAGGGGTTTGCGAAAATTATCCATTCAGATGGGCAACTTCTACCATTTTTCGGCTAGTTAAGTTTGTTCTTGGTTAATGTGTGTTAGAGAAACTTTGTCGGAGCTGTGTTGTGAGGTTAGAACTTCTACCAGTGTTAATGTTCTTGACATTTTTGAAGGGCGAAAATTGGAAATCTTGAGTTTGTCGGATTGCAAAATGGGAAGGGTTAAACAGAATATCCAAAGATTTCAATGTTTGACATCACTATCTCTACGTAATGTCAGTATTCCAGTTGAATATCTTAATCGATTTCTTAATGCTCTTCCAAAACTTGAGTCTTTGAAACTTGAGGCACCCTTCCTAGAACCTTCATGGGTTTCTTTATATGATGAGTTTTATTCACCAGAAAAAGTAGTCAAAGTGCATTGTCCTACACTGAAGACCCTTTTTCTTGAGAATATGGAACTACTTCAGTTTATATTGGAGAGTAGCAGTATTGAGTCATTGCAAGTGGAGTGCTGCTATTTCAAATTGTTTAAAGTCTATGGTAGTAAAACTTTGAGGGACCTCAAAATCTCCCACTGCAGGGCTCGGCTTCTAGAAATAGACGGGACCGAGAATCTAGAGAGTTTTGAATTCGTCAAGAGTGCTACCAATTCAAACTTGTTTCGAATGGTGATGCAATCAGCAAAGATGAAAAAGTTCCACCTTTGGGGTTTGGAGAAATACAAGATAGATCATGATGGCGAGTCAGAACAACGAGTGTTGGATTTAGAACAGATGGCCATTTGTTCACCACAACTTACCCATCTTGCAATATTGTGTGATGAAGGAGTTGATGGTCTTGTATACAGATTCGGGGGTTCAGCTTCCTTGGAGAAGGTCATGGTTTTGGAGATTGGGTGGCATGGTTTTGATGGCTTTGGTGCATGGGCAGAGAAACTACTGAAATGTTGTCCAAATGTGAAGAAGGTGACTGTTCATTGGGCTATAGAAGTGAAAAATCCAAACAAATTGAAAAGTCTTTCTGTGCAGTCCTCATTGATGATTGAAATGATGAGAAAGTATCAGCACATTGAGATGCATTTTGCCTTCTTATATGATCATGAATTATTTTTAAAGTAATGATAATAAGATTTTGATTTTGATTAATAGCCCCTATTTATTTAGTAGGGATAAGGCCTGCATCTACTCACACTTCTCTTTACTTTACTCTGATAGGTTTTGTTGGATTTTAGTGAGTTTCTTGGTGTTGTTCTTGAAGCAGTTTATAACATGTCTACTAGTGGTTATTACAAGTAATTAATTTAAGAATATTTATTTTTTTTAGTACTCCTGTTTTTTCAAAAACACTTTCTCTATCTCTAAAACACTCACTCTCTATTAAAAAATTACTTTTATCCCTACTTTTTCTTACACTATCTATTAATAATGATCTATCTATCACAGCTTACTTTTATCCATCATATCAAGGATAAAATTGAAAAGTTAACTCCAAATAACCCTATTTATTTTTACCCAAAGTCAATATATAAATTGTTCAAGAATATCTCAATATATTATTAAGTATCGATGCAGCACCAAAATTTTCATATTTGTATACGTATTCTAAATAAAACACTCGTACTAAAGAACTGTGAAGAATAATTTACCAACACAAACTTGACTGGAAGCTGAAACTGATTCTGAAGGGTTGGGGGTAAGGGTGACTCGTACTAAAAAATGTCAGAGTATTATCCTTGGAACAAATATTTAATTATAAAATACTACACTAGTAATTACTGATATTTGAGGATTGATTTGGAAAAAACAATTCATTAGAAAGGATTATTTTAAAAAGTTATTGCTTAGTGATGATCGAATTGCGAAAACACTCATATGAATTTAATAACATTAAAAATTTTTAGTAGAACTTTTATTTCAAAGATAGATTTAATAAAAGTTATAATTAAATAATTAAAATAACTTAGAAATAAAAAAATTAGTGATTATATTAACTAACTATTTATTTGGGGGGTTTGGCTAACATTAGCCCCCATGTCATCTTATGACACGGGTCTCCATTGGGTCACTTACGACGTTCCGTTTGAAATATTGATGATTTTTATCCTCTAGTAAACTCCTCCACCCCGACCCGACTCTAACTTACCCACCTCCCCCATCCATTGAATTACACCTCACAAAATTTAATTCACCTGTACACTCCGAATCATTCTATGAGGGTGTTTGGCAGTGTGTTGCTTTTAATAATTTAGCTTCTGTTTTGAGTAGAAGTGATTTTACTCTGTTTGGTATGTCAGCTCCTGCTTTTTACCACTACTATTTTGTACATAGAACACCGTTTCGGAGAAGCAGGTATGAGGTGCTTTTGCTTTTAGCTTTTATGGAAATCACTTTATCCATAAGTTAATAACTTTCAAACACCCTCTGTACCTCACAAAATTTAATTTACATATACACTCTAAATCATCCTATGACATTGAAATTCACTTCAATATGGGTGTAATTTAAATTACGTGGAAACACAAACAAATCTCATCCAAGTAGCAAGCCCATCTAGGCTATTCCTATTTATCAAGAAAGAAATACCCGGGTAAATCAGTTTTGCGGAAACGCGGCCTCTGAAGAAACGCGACCCCATCTCTCTTCAATTCGTGTATTTGTTTTTCTGTTTCTGTTTATTTGCTCGCTGGATTCTTAATTGTATTGCAGGATTACAGGTTTTGATTAGAATTGCAACCTTTGAAACCCTAATTTAAGAAATTGGAATCTTGATTGTGTGATCTACATGCGTACCTGTAATCTTTTTGCTTAACGATGTACTCTGAATGTTCTGTTTATCTATTTAATTCATGGAATGCAGATGAGGAAGAACAGTAAGAGGATTAAACTGAGTCCTGGTGGCCATGTGGAAGAATTTCCTCAGGAGGAACTTCCTCTTGAGGTTATTGGAGATATATTGTCTCGGGTAAGAGTTGCACGAGATGTGATTAAAGCTTCTCTAACTTGTAAGAAGTGGCGAGAGGCTTATTGCAAACACCTTCGTGCACTTTTGCTTGAAGCCAGTCACATAAAGGCTTTCTATGGCAGATATTTCAGGCGTGCTCCTGATGTGGAACTGTCAATATCAAAGATGATATTTGAATCACCCGGTTTGCAAAAACTATCAATTCGCATGTGCGCCGACTACAAGTTTCCGGTCAGTTTAGTCGTGGCTTGGTTGATGTTCGTCAGAGAAAATTTGTTGGAGCTGTTCTATGAGGACACAACTTCTTTCGATGTCAATGTGCTATACATATTCAAAATGCAGAGATTGGAGACCTTGAGTTTGTGTGATTACAAAATAAAAAGGGTCAAACCAAATTCCCTAAGATTTCCCTATTTGACATCACTGACTCTATGTCGTGTTGGTATTCCAGTACATGATCTAAATCGATTTCTTGATTCTTTTCCCAAACTCGAGCGTTTGAAACTTGATGCTCCCTTCCCGCACTATCCAGATGATGTCTTTTTCTCAAGATAAAGTTCTCAATGTGCATTGTCCTACACTGAAGATGCTTTTTCTTGATAATTTGAAACTGTTCAAGTTTATATTGGAGAAGAGTAGTGTTGAGCATTTGCAAGTGAAGCGTTGCTATTTTGTTTCGCTTAAAGTTTTTGGTGATAATACTTTGAGGGGCTTCAAAATGTCCTGCTCTAAGGTTCGGCTTCTTGCAGTTAAAGAGACAGACAATCTAGAGAGTTTTGAGATCATCAACAGTCACTTTACCAAATCAAATTGGTTCCCAATGGCGATACGGTCACCAAATTTGAAGAATTTGAAGACGTTTCGCTTTTGGGGTTTTAAGCAACCATCCACGTGTCCCGCAGCAGTTGAAGGCATATTTCCCAACGGGTCGAGAATAGTGTTGGATTTCAAACAAATGGCCATTTGTTTACCACAACTTAGCCATCTTGCAATGTTGTGTGAAGGAGTTGATGGTCTTGTATACAGATTCGGGGGTTCGACTTCCTTGGAGAAGGTTGTGGTTTTGGAGATGGGATGCGATGGTTCTAAACGCTTAGGCAAATGGGCAGAGAAATTGCTGAAATGTTGTCCAAATGCAAAGAAGGTAATTGTTCATTGGGTTATTCCAGAAGGCAGAAATTCAGACCATTTGAAGGATCTTTCTAAGCAGAGCACATCAATGGTTGAAATGATGATGAAGTATAGGCACATACAATGGCAGATTGCCTACAAGTATGATTCTGATTATTAGTTGGTAACAAGGATAGGGCTTGTGTCTACTCACCCTTCTTAGGTATTTTATTGAGTTTATTGTTGGGTTTTGATTAATAGGCTCTCTATTTTTGAAGTAGACATAAGGCCCTCTAGACTTCACTTTTATTGGTTTTGTTGGCTTTTATTGAGTTTATTGTTGTTCTTGATGCCAATTTATTACATTTCTACCAGTGATTATTACAAATAATTAATTTATGAAGGTTAAATATGTTTTTAGTTTCTGTAAAATAAGCGATTTTTTTTTATCCTTGTAATTTTTTGTTTAAGTCATCCATATAAAAATTTTTATTTTGAAAATGATCTTTAACCGTAATTAAGATTTCTAATTTGTTGATATAACACATTTATTTTATATTCAACATTTTAGTCCAATGTTTCTAATTATCTCAAATACAATTTTAATGTTCTAAATTGTGTTCTTCATCAAATTACACATCTAATTTTTTTGAGGTCGGTTTCTAATTATCTAAACACAAAAATTACATTCAATAAAGAAATAACAATTAATTAAAAAAATACATTAATAATACATTTGAAGTCCGATAACGTATCGAGGTCGGTTTCCATTATTTCGATCTCTTTCTTCTCTTGCCTTTGTTTCTTCAATCATTGCGCGGCTGATTTTGTCATGAGAGGAAATAGAGTCGGACCCTCCAGAACCCAAGACAATGAATTTTTCTTTCTTCCTTCCGATCGGCCGTGAAATGAGATCCTCGTTGCCGGAGTCGTCTACGTTGAAGGGAGGCTTTTGTTCTAAAGAGCTGATAGTCTCATCCGCCCATTTGGAAGTGAGTTGGTCTCGAGTTCGGCAGGAGGCATCATTGTTCATCGCTGCAAAGAATTTCTCCTTAGTACGATCCCACGTCGCATCCTTCGTTTGCTCGGTACTTTTAAGAAATATATAATTGAAAGAAAAAAAAATATTTTAATACAAATATATAAAAAATTAACATATATACATTATATATTACGGAGTAAAAATCAAATAAAATTTACCAACAATAGGATGTTCAGAGATGTCAACCCAGGTGGACGCCAACAACGATTCTTCCTTCGTGGTGCACCTTTGAATGGACCGTGCTGCCCCGATCATCAGCTTGTTACCCTTCGATTTGTAACTCTTTCGGCATGTACATTTTTGGTGCACTTGGTTCCGGTTGAGTCTCCGGAACTGACTCCAGGTCCTAAAGATTCACCGAGGTTTGTGTATCATACATCGACGAATTACCATCATATGATTAGAAAATCCTCATCACTTCCTCATTTGGCTCGAGACCGGACGAAGAAACGTTAAAATCGAAGCGCTTCATATTAAAAATTAAAACAAATACTTGAATATTTTTTTGAGAAAGAGGATGGAGAGATTTGTATTTGTGGTGCGTATTGAATTTTTTAAAAAAGGATTGAATATATAGAGAGAATTTGTTTATTCTAGCGACTTTATAGCCGTCGTGGGGGGCTCCAACGGCCGAATTTTAGCCTGCAATTTAAGTTAAAAGTTTGACGCTGTAAAATTAACAGGAGATGAGTGAGTGTTTAGCCCTCATGTGTCAAAACCTACTTCACGCTGGCGGCGTCAGTGGAAATTAAAAAATAAAAAAGGCCAATTCTCTTTCTCTCTCATCCAGGAAAAAAAGAGAAAGAAACAAGGAAAGAAAGAACAAAGAAATTTACTGGTGTTGGCTGCACGATTATAGGTTAATGTTTCGTCACTCTTAAATTCGTGTATTTTGTTGTATCTCTTGATTTAATTATTGTTTATTCGTTTTCTTAATTGTGATTTATTGATAATTCGAAGCTTTGAAACCCTAATTTAAGAAATTGGAATCTTAATTGTGTGATCTACATGCGTACCTGTAATTTCTTTGTTTAATTATGTACTGAGTGCTCTGTTTATCTATTCAAATCATGGAACGCAGATGGGGAGGCAAAGGAAAAGGATTAAAAGGAGTTGGGAAGGGCCTGTGGAGAAACTTCCCCATGAGATTCTTGGAGATATATTGTCTCGGGTAAGAGTTGCACAGTATGTGATTAAAGCTTCTCTAACTTGTAAGAAGTGGCGAGAGGCTTATTGCAAACACCTTCGTGCACTTTCGTTTGATATTGCCGATTTTAAGGTTGTCAATGACCAAGATCCTGTTCCACGCATAGAATTGTTTATCACAAAGGCAATTTTTCAAACAACCGCTTTGCGAAAATTATCGATTCTGATGAGCTCCAGGTACACGTTTTCAGCTGGTACAGTTGGGACTTGGTTATTGTTTGTTAGAGAAACTTTGTCGGAGCTGGTTTATAAGGATGGAAAGTCTACCACAGTTAATGTTCTTGATATGTTTGGAAGGAGAAAATTGGAAAGTTTGAGTCTGTCTAATTACAGAATTGGAAGGGGTGAACTGAATTTCGAAAGATTTGCATGTTTGACATCACTATCTCTATGTCGTGTCGATATTTCAGTTGAAGATCTAAATCGATTTCTCAATGCTCCTCTCAAGCTTGAGTCTTTGAAACTTGATGAGTTTTCTTCACCAGAAAGAGCAGTCGAATTCCATTGTCCTACACTCAAGACCCTTTTTCTTGATGACATGAAACTATATCAGTTTATGTTGGAGAGTAGTAGTATTGAGTGTTTGCAAGTGAAAGAGTGCTATTTCAGTTCGTTTCAAGTGCGTAGTAGTAAAACTTTGAGGGACATCAAACTCTCGAACTCCGAGGCTCGGTTTCTTGAAATTGAACAGACGGACAATCTAGAAAGTTTTGAACTCACCAGGACTTGTGTTGCCGAGTCAAATTTGTTTCCAATGATGATACAAGCACCAAAGTTGAAAAGGTTTCACTTTTGGGGTTTCATGGAAAAGTACATGTATATTGTAAGAGGGGATGACAGGTCGGGATTAGTGTTGGATTTAGAACGAATGGCTATTTGTTCACCACAACTTAGCCATCTTGCAATATTTTGCGACAAAAGGCTTGATGGTCTAGTATACAAATTCGGGGATTCGACCTCCTTGGAGAAGGTCACGGTTCTGGAGATTGGATCGGATGGTTTTGATGGGTTTGCTGAATGGACAGAGAAATTGCTGAAATGTTGTCCAAATGTAGAGAAGGTAATTGTTCATTGGGATTTATATTTGGGTAAAATACACCAATTGAATGATCTTTCTGTTCAGTCCTCATTATTGGTTAAAATGATGAGCAAGTATCAGCACATAAAGATGCAGTTTGCCTTCTCATATGCTTATTGAAAAAGACTATACTAGAAGTAAAACATAGAGGAAGTAACAAAATAAGAGTTTTATTTTTTTATTCTCAAAATAGGAGTTATAATGACAACAATGTCTATGAAATGCCAATGTACACTGTCATATTGTTTGAATGATTTCTTTATATAATTATAATTTTGATGTATAGCCTCTATATTTTTTAAGTGAGAATAATATGATTTTGATTTTGATTAATAGCCTCTATTTTTTCGACTAGGCATGAGGCCTGCATCTACTCACTCTTCTCATACTTAAGTTTGATATGTTTTGTTGGATTTTAGTGAGTTTATTATTGTTCTTGTAGCCAAGTTTATAACATGTCTACATGTGGTTGGTAGTGGTGTTGTCCTAAAAAAGTGAGACGGATGTAGTAATTAGTAGTACTACTAAAGTTTATCACTAAAGGCGTGCAACATCAAAAGTATCATACATAATTAAAAAATTAATTAAGTGTAATTTACATGGTATTCTTATTATAATTGTTGTTATTGTTATTGTTATAATATTCATAATAGGTGGAAAAAATTATACCACGTGAATAGTATATATGTCATTTAATTGGGAATAGAGAGAGTAGTACAATTATGATTTTTTAAATTAAAATATTGATGTTTTTTTTTGAATTAAATATCTATAACTTTTTTAACATAGTTTAGTGGCATGTAAAAAAAATCCCTATAAAATTGTACTCCATACTATTTATATTAAAAATGGAAGAAAAATAATAATGAGTGCCAATCACAAAATAGTGACATGGAAAAAGTAAAAAATTGAAAAATTGAAATAATAAGACATGAAAAATATATTACTATCTCCGTCCCAATGTATTTGTTTTGTTTGACTTTTTCGAGTCAAATTGGACAAACTTTGATATTAAATCTTGATTTTCTTGTCAGATTTGTAAAAAATAAAATCTTTACTATATAGAGTACTAAATGTTTTTATTTTAAATTTAATTTTTACATGTACAAAAATGAAAAAAATAGTGTATGTGTGTGTATGTTTATATATATATATATATATATATATATATATATATATATATATATATATAATTCATTGACTTATAATTAATTAGAATATATATTGTACATTAATTAGAAAATATAATATTTTGAAAATGTTTGATACGGAGTATAATAAATCTAATAAAACTATTTTTGTATCAATATATAATATAGTTTTTATTCAATTTTAGGTCAAAATTTATCAATTTTGATAGAGAAAAGTCAAAAGCGAATAAATATACAAGGACGAAGGTAGTATAAAATTATAGTCATGTCACCACTAATTTTATAGATCTTTTAATCTAGTTTTTAAATGTGTAATTTTTATATTTTAATTCTATACCATTTTTCATATAAAATTTTTTAAAATAATTTCAGACAAATATCGTAAAGCAAAACATAGAATATGAATTAAAATGGTGAAAGTATTTTTTTGGGGAGTATTTTTTTCGTCTTTGAAAAAGTTTTATAGGGCTAGGTAATAAATACTCTCTCCGTCCCAGAGTATTTGTCCACTTTCATTTTTTCACGCCATCCAATGCACTTTTTTAATCCCTTTTATCTTGTAATTTGTATATTAAAAAAATTATAGAAATTATATATTAAGAATCTATATGTTAAGACAAATCAAACAAGATCACACATGACTATATTTAGGCTTACACATTGAGAGAATTTGATGAGTCAAAGTGATTAGATAAACAGTTCTAAAAATCAAATGTGGACAAAAACTAGGGAGGGAGTACTCCGTAATTAACAACAAAGGCCCATCCAAGTGCCAAATCCTCTAGAGTCTAGACTCTAGACGAACTTCCTAATCGCGGCCTCTCTCTCATCCAAAAATATTACAGGTGACTGTTTTCATCACTCTTAAATTCGCGTGTTTTTTTTGTGTGTTTCTTAATTTAATTATTGTTTATTCGTTTGCTTAATTCTGATTTCTCGATAATTTGAAGCTTTGAAACCCTAATTTGAAGTAATTGGAATCTTAATTGTTTGATCTGTATGCGCACCTGTAATTTGAATGCTTCGTTTATATATTTGATTCGTGGAATGCAGATGGGGAGGCCCAGTAAAAGGAGTTGGGAGAAAATTCCTCTTGAGGTTATTGGGGATATACTGTCTCGTGTACGGATTGCTCGACATGTGATCAGAGCTTCTCTAACTTGTCGCAGGTGGCGAAAAGCTTATTGCAAACACCTTCATGCACTTTGTTTTGATTCTGCTGATTTTAAGTTTCCCCAGGGCCTAGCTTCTGTTCCTGACATTGAGTTGTTGATCACTAAGGCGATATTTCAGACAACCGGTTTGCGAAAATTGACAATTCTGATGGGGGGCAACTACAAGTTTTCGGCTGGTTCAGTTCATGCTTGGTTGATGTTTGTTAGAGAAACTTTGTCGGAGCTGTGTTATAAGGTTTCAACTTCTACCCGTGTTGATGTTCTTGACATGTTCGAAAGGCGAAAATTGGAATGCTTGAGTTTGTCTGATTACAGAATTGGAAGGGGTGAACTGAATTGCGATAGATTTGCGTGTTTGACATCACTATCTCTATGCCGTGTCGGTATTTCAGTTGAAGATCTAAATCGATTTCTCAGTGCTCCTCCCAAACTCGAGTCTTTGAAACTTGATTCTCCCTTCCTTCAAACTTCACAGGGTTTCCCGGATCATGAGTTTTTTGAACCAGAAAAAGTAGTCAAAGTGTACTGTCCTACACTGAAGGCCCTATTTCTTGATAATATGCAACTATTTCAGTTTATATTGGAGAAGAATAGTACTAGTATTGAGTATATGCAAATGAAACATTGCTATTTCAGATTGTTTAAAGTCTCTGGCAGCAAAACTCTGAGGGACCTCAGAATCTCCCACTCCGAGGCTTGGCGTCTTGAAATTGAGCAGACAGACAATCTAGAGAGTTTTGAAATCGTTGCCAGTCATGTTACCAGGTCAAATTTGCTCCCAATGATGATACAATCACCAAAGTTGAAAAGGTTTCGCTTTTGGGGCTTTAAGAAATGCACGTATGACGAAATAATTCTTGATGACGGGCCAGAACTAGTGTTGGATTTAGAACGAATGGCCATTTGTTCACCACAACTTACCCATCTTGCAATATTGTGTGATGAAGGAGTGGATGGTCTTGTATACAGATTCGGGGGTTCGGCTTCCTTGGAGAAGGTCATGGTTTTGGAGATTGGGTGGCATGGTTTTGATGGCTTTTGTGAATGGGCAGAGAAATTACTGAAATGTTGTCCAAATGTGAAGAAGGTTATTGTTCATTGGCTTATAGAAATGTATAAATCAGACAAACTGAATGATCTGAATGGTCTTTCTGTGCAATTCTCATTAATGGTTGAAATGATGAGAAACTATCAGCACATAGAGATGCAATTTGCCTTCTTATATACGCAGTAATTATGTTTTAATGAATACCCACATCTACTCACGCTCCTCAGACTTCACTTTGATAGGTTTTGTTGGATTTTAGTGAGTTTATTGTTCTTCAATCCAGTTTATAACATGTCTACCAGTGTTATTATAAATAATTTATTTAGGAAAATCTTATCAGTACGGAGTATAATTTTTCGTAGTTTTGGTACCACTTTTATTTTAAATAATTTATTTAAGAATCGTATCTTATCAGTACGGAGTATAATTTTTCGTAGTTTTGGTAATGTGGGGTTGGTAACGCAAATTATATCATACAACCGGTTGTACTGAAAATTCGGTACCACTGGTGAATTTATCTGCGCACGATTAGAAATGAGGAGCACGACAAACCCTAGCTTTGACCTTCGTCGATGGAGAACAACCGCAATGCTCAATCAAGGAGACGAGATGCCAGTGCTGGAGAAGGGCTTCTCGAAGGGAGAAGACGGCGATCTCACCCTAGACGACGACGGGGAATTGGAGATGGTGCACAGATTCTATCGACGATGGAGGTGTAGTAGGCGTTGGAAGAATAAGGCGTGTAATAAACACTGGTGTTTTTGGAATGAATACTAAGAGCATGTTCTTTAGGTCTGGAAAAAGTTGGATGTTCGAAGAAACTAGAAAAACTGGAAGAAATTAAAAAATTGGAATAAACTGAAAAAAATTAGAAAAAAACTCAAAAATTTATTTATATATATTTTACATAGTATTCTTATTATAATTATTATAGTAGTAGTTGTTGTTATAAATATTATTATTAACATGGGTGGCCCGGAGGGTGTGCAAAGTGGCCAACCGCACAGGATCCCTAAAATTTTAGGGCCTCATATTTTTAAATTTGTTAATACTTTTAAAGGAAAATATTCTAAAAAAAATAAAATAGGGCCCAAAATATAAATTTAGGACCGGGCCAATTTTATTTTTTCATTTTTCGGAGCCGGCCCTGATTATTAATATTTAATTATTATTCTTAACTAATATTCTTATTAATTATTCTTATTATTATATTAACAGGTAACAAAGTGAATAAATTTTGACCGTGTGAATAATATAAATCTCACTAAATTAGGGACAGAGAGTGTAGTATAATTATTATTTTTTTAATTAAAATACTGATATTTTTCCAAGGTCAATTTAAATTTAATAAAATATCCATATTTTTTAGAACATGGTTTAATGTCATACTGTCATGTAAAATATAAAAGAACAATTTTCCCAATAAAATTCATATTTTTGAGTGTTTGACTTTGACAAAGTCAAAATTGATTTAATTGACCTTTATTCAAAAAGGTTCTCACATTTAATTCATATCATCATTTGTTTTCATGATTTATTTCACTAAATCATTTCATCACATATCAATTTCTTAATTATTCTTGATTTGTGATATTGGATATCAAAACACTTTTTATTTTGGCCCAAAACCCAACAACAATTTATTTTAATCAAAACAAATTTGATTAATTGAATAATTATTTATTAAAAATTTTAGAGTATGTTTTGGGGCGTTACATTCCCTACATTCCCTCTGTCCATTAAGTTTTTTCTCATTTTCCATTTTGGACTAACCACAAATTTCTTTATCGTTTTCTATTTTGGAAGATATTTTTAATAAATGTGCCATTATGCCCCCACTTTTTATCTACATTATTTATTTTCTTTTATCACATCAAAGGTAAACATGAAAAGTCTTTAAATTTTTGAACTTTATCTTCGTGCCAAGTCAAAACGAGAAAGAAATTGTTGGATGGAGATAGTATTATTACGGAGTATTGAGAACATAAAGAACACATTCATAAATTTATCCTTTGATTATTCTAAGAGTTCAAGTCAAATCTATCATTCTCCTGCTTAATTTCTGTTATACATTTTAGTATAATTGGAATATCTATTTGACCAATGCTATGATCATAATCATAAAAAAAGTTTGGTGGTGCGGAGTAATGCTTTGATGAGTTTGTTATGATAAAAGTCTCATTTTAATGGGGTTTCAGGGGTAGCATTGTCGAGCGCGCGGTTCAAGGGGCAGTAGTCCTGTAGGGTCCAAGGGACGAGCCCCTAGCTAGCAGGTCAGCTCGCAATCTTTTTATTTTGGACAAAGTGATGTGTTAAAAATTCACTTGAATTTTTATTTTTCGAAATTGGGTATGAAGAAGTTCTAAAAGAATGCGTATTCTAATTTTCGCGCATTTAGGTGCAAACTTCAGAAGAGAGACGTGATTGCATCTCTTCTCCTTCTCCGCTTATATAAGTATCTAGCAAGGCTTGGTCGAAATTCCAATAGGTTTGAAATTCATTACATCTTCTTCATACGTCATTCTTAAATTCTCTGAATTTTATCCGAATAAAAGATTCGTGTGAACTAACGAATTGTTTCAATCTAGAAGTAACTACACGCATTTCATAGATTTCGAGTACTGATTCTATTTTCTAACAATTTCTAAGCATTTGTTTGAGTTCCAGAGAGTTAATGTGTGTCATACTCTAGTTATTTGAAGAGCATTTTCCACTGTGCAGTTTGGATTTTAAGTTTTGGGTTGTAAATACTTTAATTTGATTTGGATTTGGATTGAAATCCTAAGTCTTGTGAAGTCAAGTTATCGAGTTGTAATCAAATTCTAAACCCTCGTTAAGTTTTCGAAGTTAGTGAAATCTCGAACACGTTTACTTCAGGGACTAGACGTCGGCATTAGGCCAAACAAGTATACATCATTTTTTTCCTTTGTTTTATTGGTTGGAGTGCTTGTGTAATTTTTGGCCCTCTAGAGGTGTGTGTGGCGCTTAACAAGGCCCAGAACCAAAGAGTGATCCGTGAGTGATTGAGTGAATTGATGGGTTAAACCCATCCAGGCCATGAGGTGTGTTTAGTGGGATGGAGCCATGCGTTTAGGGTTAGTTTCTTGGCGAGACGTTTTCTTAAGTTTCCTACGATAACTGTGATGAGATTATGAAGATTGGATATAACCATAGATTATTTATGTTAATTTTCTTTTAATTGAGATTTATATTTAACTTTTGTTCCCACTATTTTTAGTACATCGGTTACTGGCATGAAAATTAAGAAATACTTTGTAAAAATTTGAACTACTGATTGTGATTGAAAAAAGTTTAAGAAAAACTATCAATATGTATGAGTCAAAAAATAATACTGGTTAAACAAAAAAAGTTTAACATATGAATAAAAAGAGATAATTATAATAAATGAAGCATAAATTGTTTTAATAAATATATAAAATTCAAAAATATATGAGTAATACTCATTTCAATATTCTTTTAGTATTTTTCAACTCTTAATTTCTTTTAATTTTTTCATACTTTTAGTTTTTTTCTAATTTCTTTCAATTTATTTCAATTTCTAAAAAAAATTCCAAAGGCATAAGAAGATGTCCCTAGTTTTTTTGTTTTTAATTTGGTTATACTAGTAGTAAGTTTTTTAAAAAGTCAATCTTAATTACTTGTTCTTAAGCATGTTTTTTTGTTTTTTGTTTTGTTTTGTTCAAATCATCTATAAAACCACTCTAACGAACATCCCAAATGACTCATATCTCATTTATAAAGTCATCTTCTTACAAATAAACTCGAATAAACAACTTATAAGTTACTCATTCCGTCTTAAAATTATTTTTTGTTTACATGATCAAACTTTTTTCACTTTGTTTTCTTATTTTCATTAGTCGATTATTTTTGCTGTTATTCTTATTTTCATTAGTCGATCATTTGTCAAAATAATATATTTATGTCACATCTAATTTTGTATTCAATTTGACGCAACTCTTAAATATATAAGTTTATTTTTAATTTTTCACCTCTAATTAATTAAATTAAATTAAAAATAATTTTATTCCAAACATAAAAAGTAAAGTAGAAAATTAGTTTTGGGAAGGACGAATAATAAATACTCCGTAATAAATATCATCAATAACCCAAAAATAATCCTCACAGCCTCACACAAACCCAAAAACAAAGGCCCATAAAAAAGAACGGCCCATCCTCAGGGTAAGTCCTATTGCTCCAGACGACGACTTTTTACGAAGGCGGAAATCAATCTGTTTGCACTTTTGCCGAAACGCAGCCTCTCTCTCTCTCTCTCTCTCTCTCTCTTTCATCCAGAAATATTACAGGTGAATCTTTCATCACTCTTAAATTCATGCTTTTTTTTGTGTGTTTCTTAATTCAATTATTGTTTATTCGTTTGCTTAATTCTGATTTCCTGAGAATTTGAAGCTTTGAAACCCTAATTCATAAAATTGGAATCTTAGTTGTTTGATCTGCATGCGTACCTGTGCTTTAGCTTCTCGTTTAATAATAAGCTGTCTGTTTTGTTTATCTATTCAAATCATGGAATGAAGATGGAGAGGGACAGTAAAAGGAGTGGGGAAAGGCCTGTGGAGAAAATTCCTCTTGAGGTTATTGGGGATATACTGTCTCGTGTGCGAATTGCACGAGATGGGATCAGAGCTTCTCTAACTTGCAAGAAGTGGCGAGAGGCGTATTGCAAACACCTTCATGCACTTTCCTTTGGTGTTTCTAGTTTTAAGTTTCCCAAAGGCCAAAATTCTGTTCCTGACATAGAATTGTTGATCACAAACATGATGTACGAGATCCCCGGTTTGCAGAAACTATCGATTCTGATGGATTTCAGGTACAAGTTTTCGGCTGGTTTAGTTGTGGCGTGGTTAAGGGGCGTTAGAGAAACCTTGTCGGAGCTGGTTTTCAATGTTAGAACTTCTACCCCTGTTGATGTTCTTAAAATATTTGAAAGGCGAAAATTGGAAAGCTTGAGCTTGTGGGACTACAACATAGGAAGGGTTGAACAGAATTTCCAAAGATTTCCAAGTTTGACATCACTATCTCTATCTCGTGTCGGTATCTCAGCAGAAAATCTGAATCAATTTCTCTATGCTCTTCCCAATCTCGAGTCTTTGAAACTTGATGATCCCTTCTCAGAAGCTTCATACAGTGAGGTTTCTTCAGATAGTGAAGATTCTTCAGATTGGGAGGATTCTTCAGATAGTGACGATTCGTCAGATATTGACGATTCCTCACCATTAAAGGTAGTCAAATTGAGTTGCCCTACACTGAAAACCCTTTTTCTTGATGATATGAAAGTATGTCAGTTTACAATGGAGAGTAGTAGTCTTGAGTATTTGCAAATGACAGATTGCTATTTCAGTTCGTTTAAAGTGTGTGGCAGTAAAACTTTGAGGGACATCAAAATCTCCCGCTCCGAGTCTCGGCTTCTTGAAATTGAACAGACAGACAATCTAGAGAGTTTTGAATTCATTAGTAGTCGTGTAAGCGAGTCAAATTTGTTGCCAATGATGGTACCATCACCAAAGTTGAATAGGTTTCGGTTTTGGGGTTTTACGAAGAAGTACAAGAGTCGCGCAGTAGGGGATGGAATAATTCTTGACAAGGGATCAGGAATAGTGTTGGATTCAGAAAGAATGGCCATTTGTTCACCACAAATTCGCCATCTTTCGATATTTTGCAACGAAGGACTTGAGGGGCTACTCTACAAATTCGGTGGTCCGACTTCCTTGGAGAAGGTTGTGGTTTTGGAGATTGGATGGGATGGTTTTAAAGGCTTCGGAAAATGGGCAGAGGAATTACTGAAAGGTTGTCCAAATGTGAAGAAGGTAATTGTTCATTGGGTTATTCCAAAGAAGTGCAATCGAATGTTTTTGAAGAATCTTACTGAGCAGACCTCATCAATAAATGATATGGCGCTAAACAGACAAATGCAAGTGTCCTTCTTATATGATTCTGGTTTTGATTAAGTATCAGCACATACAAATGCCTTTAATCACCATTCTCTGGCTTCACTTGTTAGGGGTTGTTGGATTTTATTGAGTCTGTCTTTGTTCTTGTTGCTATAATTCTATAACACATTAGTATAATGTTTCATAGATGTGGTAATTTGGTTGGTGGTGGTGTGTTCCTAATACTCTATGTATACATCTCACTCCTCTCTTGCTTTCCCTACAAGGAAAAAGAGGCTCCAAGCTTTTTAAAGAAGAATTGCAAGTGTAATCTCTACTACACTTTTTACATGTAATAAACCATGGTATTAGTGGCGTAATAATGATTACGGAGTATTAGAATTTACTAACATGTCTGTTATACTTATTAAAAATTTGTTCCGAATAATTAGAGACTATGGATTAGTAATCTCTGTAAAAATGGAATTATTTTAATCATCTAGTGAAAAGTAATAATAGAAGATTTGTTTAATAAAATTGTTAAAATTGCAATTTATATCACATTTTTTTATTAACAGGTTATCTTTAAGAATCATTTCTCATTCACATTTTTATTTTTTATATATCTCAGTGTTTTACATATTTACATAATTAAAAAATTCACATGAGGGCATCCATGCCTCACATTCACCAAGCAACGTCTTCAGTTTCAATGTCAGATTACTTTGTCCTTCAACTTTTACCACCATTCTTTTATTATTCTCTTAATTTTTAAATTATTTTTTCCACATATTATCTAATTATTTGCACAAAAAAATAATTGACCAACCACTTTTCTATTCCTTTTTTTTTCTTATAAGGCCTACCGCTGTGGCACACGGAAAAGAGGAAGCCACCTAACACGGGAAGGGAAGGGGAACATTGCCTCCCCACCCCNGGAATGGGAAGAGCGGAACCCCTTCCCGCCTTTTAGTGAAAAAAAATTACTATTTGAACACAACACTTATTCATATTTTTCACACACTTCCTATTCAATTTAAACACTTCTCACCAAAATATCATCTCCTTCATCAAATACAATGTCGAATTCTTCTTATTTTCGTTTCTTTAGATGAAACCGAAAGTTTTTTCATAAACGTGATCATGGAGGCGGCAAAAATTTTATCTGAGCATGTTGAAATTGGAAGTACTTTGATGCAAAAAAAAACCGATACCAGGCTCGTACATAGTCACCAAAAAATTAAAACATGTTATGTATGCTTGTCTTATATTACATAACATAATCCTCAAAGATGAGGGGCAGACGATATGCGAATACGATCTAAATGACGTTTTTGAAAATGTCGAACTAGTGGATGCTGGACAACAAGACTTGAACTTGTCTGTATGATGCAACCAGAATCCGCACCTCCACCTACGGGCTGGTTTAGTAGAGTATTTGTGAAATTTCGCTCCACCAATTGTATCTGATGATTAGGTTTCCAAGTTTTTAAAATATGAACTGTGTTTAGGTTTTTATCTGAAATATGAATTGTATAATAATATTTTTATTGTGTATTAATTATTTAATGTATCAATTTTAGAATTAGTTTTAATTTTATTTGAATGTATAACTTTAAATGTTTGAAGTAAATTTTTATTAATTTTATGTTTTTAGTTTAATTGTTTAAATTAAAATAAGTGTTAAAAAGTTATATAAAAATTGAAAGAGAAAAGGAGAAGGTCTTACTCTAGAGTCTATTTGGAAAAGAAGAAATGATTTTAGAAAAATAAATTATTTTCTGGTGTTTGGTAAAAAGTGTGAAAATTGCATAATTTTATTTGGGACATTTAGGAAAATGAGAATTGGAAAATTTTTTTTTAAAAAAAAACAAGCTCAACCATGGAGCTCAGGCCAAAGCCCTCCACTTTCCTCTTTCAAGAAAAGGGTATAAAAATGGGGGCTAGGATTAGGGTTTGAACCCATATACAAATCAATGGGTCTGTCCAACATACTGAGCCACCTCTAAATAAGCAATTAATATACAACTAACGTGCTGTTTCAATTGAATGGATCGCCTCAATTAATATTATACAAATACCGAATACCATATGTCCAGGGTATCCATCAACTAGGACGGAGGAAGAATAAATGTCATATTCCGTATCATGATATTCAGTCTTATAGTGTTTTTTGGGATATGAAATGGTTCTTACCGTTAACCCCTCTCGCTGTAATAATTACAATTAAGGGTCTTATTGGTTCACAAAATTGATGGAATTGAAATTGAATTGAAAGATGAAATTTAATATGTGGATTTAAATTAGTACTACCAAACATCAAGATTAGAACTATTGTTTTCAATTTCAATTTCTTTATTCGATTCTGTGTACCGAATGGAACTTAAGAGTTTTGCGGCCAAATAACTCTGGTGCCCCCTGTGGTTTGGAAAATTGGCACCAAAACCCCCTCTGTTTTCAAAACTTATTTCTAAAGTCCCCGTGGTTTCAAAACGTTGCACCCACACCCCCTCTAATCATTTTCCGGCCATTTTCCGGCGAAGAGGGGGCATTGGCGCATAATTTCTAAACCATAGGGGGCATTCGTGCTCATTTCTTATTTTAGTTTATTATTTGTGTTTTCCCTTTTTTTGAATATTTTGTATCTCTTTTTCCTTTTCCTTGATTTTTTTTAAAAATATATTTTCAATTTTTATAATGTTTTAAAAATTTTAAAATTCTTTGTGTTTGAAATAAAAATAAAAATAAAAAAAATTTACATTACATCTATCTCAAATTAAACATTTTCAGTTTTTTCTAGAATAATTTTTTGGAAAGTTTGAAAAAACCCAGAATAAAAAAAATAAAAATACGGAAAAACGAAATGAAAAAAATTAAAATACGCAAAAAAAAGTCTTATACAAAAAAATTTGGACACGCCTAAAAAAGTCCTTAGAATTGAGATGTCCAAAAAAGATATTCATTTTAATTTTTGTATTATTTTTTTCTTATTTTATTCCTCATTTTTTCAAAGTTTTCAAAAACAAATTCTTTTTTTCAGAAAAAAACAAAAATTGTTAATTTCAGGCGTACATATGTATGATACGGAGTATTTTATTTTTTCAAACAAAAATAACTTTAAATTTTAAGAATATTATAAAATCACTTTTAAAAAACCCTAATTAATAAATGAAACAAAAAAAAAGGAAAAATGGAAAAAACAAAAAATAAACGAGAAATAAAAATCAGCACTGATACCCCCTATGGTTTAGAAAATATGCACCAATGCCCCCCTCTTCGCCGGAAAAATGGCCGGAAAATGATAAGAGGGGGTACGGGTGCAGCATTTTGAAACCACAGGGACTTTAGAAATAAGTTTTGAAAATAGAGGGGGTATTGGTGCCTGTTTTGCAAACCACGAGGGGTACCGATGCTATTTGGCCAGAGTTTTGCCTATAATACAATGAAAGACTAAAGTTCCGTTTGATACACAGAATTCAAACTGTGGAATTAAAATTGGAACAATAATTTCAATTCTACTACTTCGTATTTAATAGCAGAAAAATATGTAGATTTGTAATTTGTAATGCCAAAAATAAATTATGAATTGAAACGAGAGAATACAATTTCTTCCAAATCAATTTAATAAAATTTGAAATTTCAATTTAATTTCAATTCCAAACCGATCCTAAGGCTATGTTCTCTTTAAATTATTTCAATGGCTAGTTTGATTTTAAAAAAAATCTGATTCGAAAAAGTCGAGAACAAAAAATCAGATGAGAGGGGGGAATTGAACGCAGCCCTAAGTCAGATTCGTTGAAAGGCGACCGATCAACAAGAAAACAAAAAAGAAAGAACAAGTTGCATTTGGTGTTGGCTGCGAGATTTAGGTGAATGTTCATCACTCTCAAATTCGCGTTTCATTTTTATTAAATACATGTATTTGTTTTTGACTTTCTTAAATTTAAGTATTGTTTATTCGTTTGCTTGATTCTGATTTCTCTAGAATCCTAAGCTTTGAAACCCTACTTCAAATAATTGTAATTTTAGCTGTCTGATCTACATGCGTGCCTGTAATTTCTGGTTGAATACTACTCTGACTGTTTTATTTAATATATTTAATTCATGGAGTGTAGATGGAAAGTGACAGTAGGAGTTTGGAAGAGCACGCAGAGAAACTTCCTCTTGAGGTTATTGGAGAGATATTGTCTCGCGTAAGAGTTGCACGAGATGTGATTAAAGCCTCTCTAACTTGTAAGAAATGGCGAGAGGCTTATGGCAAACACCTTCATGCACTTTCCTTTGATGTTGCTGATTTTGAGTTTCCCAAGTACCAAGGTTCTGTTCCTGACATAGAAATGTTGGTCACAAAGACAATATTGCAACTTCCTGGTTTGCGAAAATTATCGATTCTGATGGACGTCCGGTACGCGTTTTCAGCTGGTTTAGTTTTGGCGTTGTTAACATTAGTTAGAGAAACCTTGTCGGAGCTGTGGTATAAGGTTAGAACTTCTACCATTGTTAATGTTCTTGATATCTTTGAAAGGCAGAAATTGGAAAGCTTGAGTTTGTCCTATTACAAAATAGGAAGGGTTGAAGAGAATTCCCAAAGATTTCCATGTCTGACATCACTATCTCTATGTCGTGTTGGCATTTCATTTGATGATCTAAATCGATTTCTCTATGCTCTTCCCAATCTCGAGTCTTTGAAACTTGATGATCCCTTCCTAGAAGATTCAGATAATGAGTATTCTTCATATAGTGATTCTTCATATAGTGGGGATTCTTCAGACGACGAGTTTTTTTCACCAGAAAATGTAGTCAAACTGCGTTGTCCTGCACTGAAGACCCTTTTTCTTGAAAATATGAAACTATTTCAGTTTATATTGGAGAGTAGCAGCATTGAGTATTTGCAAGTGGAAGATTGCTATTTCAGTTCGTTTAAAGTGTATGGCAGTAAAACTTTGAGGGACTTCAAAATCTCCCACTCTGAGGCTTGGCTTCTTGAAATTGAACAGACAGGCAAACTAGAGAGTTTTGAATTCGTCAGGAGTCGTGTTACCCATTCAAATTTGTTTCCAATGATACAATCACCAAAGTTGAAAAGGTTTCGGTTTTGGGGTTTTAGGAAGAAGTACATGCGTCACATAAGAGGGAATGAAATAATTCTTGACAACGGATCGGGAATAGTGTTGGATTCAGAAAGAATGGCCATTTGTTCACCACAACTTCGCCATCTTTCAATATTTTGCAACGAAGGACTTGAGGGGCTACTCTACAAATTCGGGGGTCCGACTTCCTTGGAGAAGGTTGTGGTTTTGGAGATTGGATGGGATGGTTTTAAAGGCTTCGGAAAATGGGCAGAGGAATTACTGAAATGTTGCCCAAATGTGAAGAAGGTAATTGTTCATTGGGTTATTATTCCAGAGAAGTGCAATACAATGTTTTTGAAGAATCTTACTGAGCAGACCTCATCAATAAATGAAATGGTGGGCAAGTATCAGAACAGAGAAATACAAGTGTCCTTGTATGATTCTGGTTTTGATTAAGTATCAGCACATAGAAATGCCTTTAATCACCATTCTCTGGCTTCACTTGTTAGGGTTTGTTGGATTTTATTGAATTAGTCTTTGTTCTTGATACTATAATTCTATAACATCTTAGTATAATGTTTCATAGATGTGGTAATTTGGTTGGTGGTGGTGTGTTCCTAATACTCTATATATACATCTCACTCCTCTCTTCCTTTTACTACAAGGAAAAAGAGGCTCCAAGCTTTTTAAAAAAGAATTGCAAGTGTAATCTCCACTACACTTTTACACTATGTTTGGTTCAAGGAATTTGGATGCAAAAGAAAAAAAATGACTTTCTCATTTTCCTCACCAAAATGGGAGGAATATGGGTTTTCTTCTTCTCATTTTCTTTTCCTTCCATTTTTCCTTTTTTTTCCACTCGAACCAAAGAAGAAAAAGTGTTTTCCACTTTATTTTCTTTTTTTTTCTTTCAATTTTCTTGAACCAAAAATAGTGCTAATGCTTTAATAATTGGTTTTAGTGGAGAGTTGATGATTTTTAATCTCATAACCATTCATATTACTCACGTATGAATTCTCAAAATTGCAAGCATGAAGGATTCTCTTACATGTAATAAACCATGGTATTAGTGGCGTAATAATGATTATTACGGAGTAGAATTTACTAACATGTCTGTTATACTTATTAAAAATTTGTTTCGAATAATTAGAGACTAAGGTTCATTTATCTCTGTAAAAATAGAATTATTTTAATCATCTATTGAAGAGTAATAATAGAAGATTTGTTCAATAAAATTGTTAAAAGAGCAGGAACCTCTCCCTGCCTTTTCTAGTGAAATAGAAAAAAAATTTATTATTTGAACACAAAACTTGATTCATATTTTTCACACGCTTCCTATTCATTTTAAACACTTCTCGCCAAAATATCGTCTCCTTCATCAAATACGATGTCGAATTCTTCTTATTTTCATTTCTTCGGATGAAATCAAAAGTTTTTTCATAAACGTGATCATGGAGGCGGAAAATTTTTATCCGAGCATGTAGAAATTGGAAGTACTTTGGCGCAAAAAATCTGATACCAGGCTCGTGCATAGTCACCAAAAAATTAAAACATGTTATGTATGCTTGTCTTATATTACATAACATAATCCTCAAAGATGAGGGGCAGACGATATGCGAATACGATTTGAATGACGTTCTTGAGAACGTCGAACTAGTGAATGCTGGACAACAAGACTTGAACTTGTGTGTATGATGCAATTAACCAGAATATGCACCTCCACCTATGGGCTGGTTTGGTAGAGTATTTGTGAAATTTTGATCCACCAATTGTATCTAATGATTAGGTTTCCAAGTTTTTTTTTAAATATGAATTATGTTTAGGTTTTTATCTGAAATATGACTTGTATAATAATATTTTTATTGTGTATTAATTATTTAATGTATCAATATTAGTATTAGTTTTAATTTTATTTAAATGTATAACTTTAAATGTTTGAAGTAAATTTTTTTTAATTATATGTTTTTAGTTTAATTATTTTAATTAAAATAAGTGTTAAAAAATTATATAAAAAAGTGAAAGAGAAAAGGAGAAGGTCTTACTCTAAGAGTCCGTTTGGAAAAGAAGAAAATGATTTCAAAAAAATGAATTATTTTCTGGTGTTTGGTAAAAAGTGTGAAAATTGCATGATTTTATTTGGGACATTTAGGAAAATGAGAATTGGAAAATAAAAAAAAAACAAGCTCAATCTTCAAGCCTAGTCCAAAGATTCCCCGGCATCATCCTAGATCACAAATCGCAGCACCCCAAAGCTACCCCCAACATGGTGCATAGCAAATCAATGGAGACAGAGGTGTAGGAGATATGAGGCGGCGATTATGTGGAGGAAAGAGGCAGGGGCGGGGGCAACGATTTGGACGAAGGAGGCAGGGGGCGACGGCGACAATGTAGACGAAGGAGGCAGGGGTGGCGGCGACAATGTGGACGAAGGAGGCAGGGGCGGGGGCGTGGATTTTGTAAACATGTGGTATTGGCAATGGTGAAGATAAGCAAGAGCGGCAGATATTGTTTTTTCATCTAACTTTCATTTTCCACTCTCTCTGAACAACGGGAAAAATGAGGAAAATGACTTTTGGGGCACGGACGACGTGAAAAGCATCCAAATGTGCGTCTTGCAGATTATGTTATGCATGTTGTCGATACGTTTCTTGAAGAGAATTGTAAGTATCCACTCTCGTTATACATTGCTTACGAGAGGTTTTCTGACAAACACAAGTGCTTTCTTACAACACTTGATGCAAAAGTTGAGCCTAAGACATTCAGAAGGCGTTCAAAAATGAGCAATTGAGGAAGGGCATGTAAGAAGAGATTGATGCATTAGAAGCCAACTATGTTACAAGGATACACAAATGTGAATTGGATATCTGACGCAAAGGACTTAAAATCCATAGATGGATACATCTTTATGCTAGTAGAAGCAGCTATATCCTAGAAGTCATCAAGACAGGCGCTAATCTCAAGATCCACTATGGAATATGAGTTTATAAATGTGAAGAGGAAGCTGAATGGTTGCAAAACTTCCTAGAGGATGTTCTAAAATGGGATAAACCAGTTCCACCAATTTGCGTTTATTGTGATTATTAGTCCGTATTAAGACGTGCAAAGAACAACACATATAATTGTAATTCCTGACACATTCGTCAAAGATATAAAACTTTTAAACAACTTCTGTCAACTGAAGTTATCACAATTGACTATTTGACTATGTAAAGTCAAAAGATAATTTTCCATCGTCATATTAAAGTTTAAATAAACTGATAGAGTATGAAATTGCATTCGGTTGAATCCATTTAGGCTCTCTTCACCTGATTAGGATAGAATAAGGGTGATTCCTTTGGTGCCATTTCAAAATTGAGGGTTTTGAAACCCTCCACACTTGGACCACTAAGAAATAGACATGTGGAAACAATACTCCACATCAAATTATTCTTTTTTATTACAATTGGCCCCAAACCTAAATTGAATTATTTTTCTTTCCTTCACGGCAATCTCCCGTTAGAGAAAGCCGTCTCCATCTCCGGGCCAGAGTCTTCTCCAATTCGTCCTGAATCAGTGTCGCCGCCTTCATCACTCCGAGTCTGTCCGACGAAGAAATAGCAACGCCATCTACCATTTTGCCCCTTCCGTCAATTTTCCGCTCAGGTTCCCTTAGCTTCCGTCAATTTTTCATCTATTAATTGCAATTCTTGTTTCTAAGTCTCGTTCTCTTGTTCCAAACAGGTGTATTTCTCATTTTTAGTTTGATTTAACCATGAATTCTTATTTTGAAAGTCTATGTGGTCTCATCTGTGTAGTTTTGAGATATCTCTGTACTTCAATTTTTTTTTTGTTTTTGTAAAAAAACAAAGCTTATTGATCAACGGAACTAAGTATCCATGGGTTTTGCCACTACCAGTCTCGGCAGCAACCACCACATCAGCGCCAGACAGTATATTTGATATGCAAGCAGCCTGTAGTCAGTTTCAAGAGATGAAATGCTTGTTTTAACAAAAGATGAGATTTTTAAGGCAATAAAATGGTGTCAAAGTACAAAACAGGTAGGATATAGTTTGAACTGAACATAGAATTGGAACTCTAATAGTTGGTGATAGCCACAAGTCTGCAACTACACAATTGGTTTCATAAACCAAAACTATCCTTAGAAATTTCCCCTTTCCCTAGCATTTTCCGGGATCTAAACATATGAAAAATTATGTCTAAAGTTCTACAAAAATGAGCAATTGAGGAAGGCCATGTAAGAAGAGATTGATGCATTAGAAGCCAACTATGTTACAAGGATACACAAATGTGAATTGGATATCTGACGTAAAGGACTTAAAATCCACAAATGGATACATCTTTATGCTAGTAGAAGCAGCTATATCCTAGAAGTCATCAAGACAGGCGCTAATCTGAAGATCCACTATGGAATATGAGTTTATAGCTCTGGATAAATGTGAAGAGGAAGCTGAATGGTTGCAAAACTTCCTAGAGGATGTTCTAAAATGGGATAAACCAGTTCCACCAATTTGCATTTATTGTGATTGTTAGTCCGTATTAAGACGTGCAAAGAACAACACATATAATGGTAATTCCTGACACATTCGTCAAAGATATAAAACTTTTAAACAACTTCTGTCAACTGAAGTTATCACAATTGACTATTTGACTATGTAAAGTCAAAAGATAATTTTCCATCGTCATATTAAAATTTAAATAAACTGATAGAGTATGAAATTGCATTCGGTTGAATCCATTTAGGCTCTCTTCACCTGATTAGGATAGAATAAGTTCTAACTAGATCTGGTTTGGTTTGGCCTAGTATAAATGTAGATACATTTAAAATTATTTCTAATCTGATTGCGGTAAAAATAAATACTCCGTAATAACTAAGGAAAATAAGTTGGAGTTTGGATTTGGGTCCGAATCCAACTTGGAGTCCAGCTCCAAAACAAATTACTCCTTACTTCGGATGCCTCAAATCCAGGATCCAAATACCCGTTCACAAAACCCTACGGGTCTACGATTCCCAGAGTTTCAATTTTCTCGACTGACGAACCGACCAAAGGCGCCCCCTTCTAACAACAATCCTCGCCATCGTTCCGGCGTCTGAGCATATCGATTTCCTCCAGGTCCGTTCGTTTATTCCAGATTATATATCAAAGTGATTATTTGATCGAGTGTTTTTGGGTGAATTGTGATTCGATTCATCGTCATTTTTTTTCTCTGAGGTTCTGTGATTTTTATTAGATGTAGTAGTATTTAGTAATCTTATCAGATATTCTCAAACGAAATTCATGTGCTTTTTCGTATTATGGAGACTTGATCCACAATTAGTACATGTTTTAGATCCGTGTTGTGTTCGAAATTGCAAACATGAAACACTACACTGCAGATCTTCAATTACTCTCCTATTGGTTTTTATAATGATCTATTTGAAACGCCACTCTACAGATCTTGTTTTTCACTGGTGCGTGCTTTTCATATTTTTTTGGGGTTAAATTTGCGATTTTACATGCTTTGTGTTTGTTTTAAATTTGTGCCTTTCAAAATCAAAGCGTTTGTGCTTTAGTAATATCTGGAGTCTGACATATGTAAATCTTCATTTATTCCCGGTGGGAGAAAAGTGAACATTTTTCGTTCAATTTGAGGAGCTATGTTCCCACGTTTATTGTTTAGGTTTGATTGGATTTAAAACATATTTGTTTATTTTGTTACTGCAAAGCACACAAATGGATATACTTATTTTTTTAGTTTATTTCTATTAGATCTCTGCACACCTCTACATGAGTGCATGATTTGTTTGACTCTTACTTAGGACTCTCTGTGAATACTCAATCTTTTTTCTAGGATAAAGTTTGTTTATATAGTTTAATTATGACCTTGTTTGGGAATGACATTTTCTATTACAGTTAGCGTTTTGGATTATTTATTAATGGTGCAAGATTAACTTTGGAATTGCTAGATTTGTTGCCAAACAGACCCTATATATCCCTTTTTACTGGAATTGTTCTGATGGTCTTTTCTCTGTTTTGGTTTCAGCTCATTTATTAACTTTTCAAAAACTTTTGCAAGATGGCTTCACGATTTTGGACTCAGGTTTGTGGTTTTTGTAGATATATTATGACATTGTTACTTGATTATCCCACACATTGAAAGCTTTGTTGGCATTTTTTTTATTTTAAATATTTCAACTCTAAGATTTTAAACAATTAGGTATTTCAACTTTAAGATATTTCAACCATTTTAACATCAAGATATCAACTTAAATATTCAATTTTGCCACACTTTGAGACTTTCAATAATTTCAACTTATATATATGTGATCCCCTGTAATGGATTTATTATAGGGAGACAGTGATACCGAAGAGGACCTGAGTGATAATGATGTTCCAGATGAACCAGTTGAATCAACTGAACCTGCAAAAGAGAACAGATATCTCAGATCAGATTCTGAGTCTGACAGTGATGACGGACACGACCGCCGTCGTGTTGTCAAAAAGTTTGACAAACATTACGAGGAGATGTTGGGCACTATTGATCAGATAAATAATGCAATGAAGATCAATGACTGGGTCAGCCTGCAGGAGAGCTTTGACAAGATCAACAAGCAGCTCGAGAAGGTAATGCGTACAACAAATTCAGAGAAGGTATTGACTCTATATGTAAAGGGTCTAGTTATGTTAGAGGACTTTCTCGCAGAAGCCTTTGCAAATAAAGAAGCAAAGAAGAAGATGAGTAGTAGTAATGCCAAAGCAATGAATTCTATGAAACAAAAGTTGAAGAAAAACAACAAGCAATACGAGGAGCTGATTGAAGCATACAGAAAGAATCCACCAAAGAGTGAGGATGAAGGCAGTGCTGATGAATCCGAGGAAGAATCTGACGATGAAGACATTGACGAGGATGACATTGAGGAGTACCAAAAAGAAGAGTCAGATGATGATGATGTCCAGTCAACCGAGACCGGTGTGGGGTGGGAGAAAATGCTTAGCAAGAAAGACAAGCTTATGGATAAGCAGTTCAGGGATCCCAGCCAAATCACATGGGATATTGTCAACAAGAAATTCAGGGAAGTGGTTGCTGCAAGGGGTAGGAAGGGAACAGGGAGGCTTGAATTGGTTGAACAACTCACCTTCTTGACCAAAGTGGCTAAGACCCCTGCCCAAAAGCTTGAGATCCTTTTCAGTGTTGTCTCTGCCCAGTTTGATGTTAACCCAAGTCTAAGTGGGCACATGCCTATTAATGTGTGGAAAGCATCTGTGAGCAACATGCTTACCATTCTTGACATTCTTACCCAGTACCCAAACATTGTTGTTGATGACAAAATGGAGCTTGATGAGAATGAGACACAGAAAGGAGCAGATTACAATGAGACTATTAGGATCTGGGGGAACCTGGTAGCCTTTGTAGAAAAGATTGACGTGGAGTTCTTTAAAAGTCTGCAGGTTATTGATCCTCATACACGTGAGTACGTTGAGAGGCTTAAGGATGAACCTTTGTTTGTTGTTCTTGCACAAAATGTGCAGGAGTACTTGGTAAGGGCTGGGGATTACAAAGCTGCAGCCAAAGTGAGCCTGAAACGGGTTGAGCTCATATATTATAAACCACAAGCAGTGTATGATGCCATGAGAAATTGGGCTGAGCAAACAAAGAATGCTGAGGAAAAAACAGAGTCTGGAGAGGAAAACAAGGGGGGTCCACCTGCTATTGTTCCAACTCCCGAGCTTGTTCCAAGAAAACCCACCTTTGAAGAGAACAGTAGGACCTTGATGGATATCCTTGTTTCTCTTATTTATAAGTACGGGGATGAGAGAACAAAAGCACGTGCTATGCTCTGTGATATTTACCACCATGCCATCTCAGATGAGTTTTCAGTTGCACGAGACCTACTGCTGATGAGTCACTTGCAAGATAATGTACAGCATATGGACATTTCAACACAGATACTCTATAACAGGGCTATGGCGCAACTTGGTCTGTGTGCTTTCAGGGCTGGACTTATTGTTGAGAGTCACAGTTGTCTCTCCGAGCTGTATTCTGCTGGCAGGGTAAAAGAATTGCTTGCACAAGGTGTCTCACAGAACCGATATCATGAAAAGACCCCAGAACAGGCATGCCTTCCTTCTTCTTCTTCCCTTATCACTGATAAAACTCATATATTTGTACATTGGACATTGGTGTAGTTGAACCACAAAAGTTTTTTAGATCCTTTCACCACATAAACTATTTAATGTTTTTTTATCTTTCAGAAAATTATCTTGTCCCTCTAATATAATACTAGACACACATTTTCATATTATCAGGAGAGGATGGAGAGGAGGAGGCAAATGCCATATCACATGCACATAAATCTTGAACTCCTTGAAGCTGTTCATCTCACATGTGCAATGCTCTTGGAGGTTCCGAACATGGCAGCCAATAGCCACGATGCTAAGAGCAGAGTCATAAGCAGAACATTCAGGAGATTACTAGAGGCGAGTGAGAGGCAAACATTCACAGGCCCTCCTGAGAACGTCAGGGACCATGTAATGGCAGCCACTAGGGCCTTAAAACAGGGAGATTTCAACAAGGCCTTTGAAGTCATACTCTCTCTCAATATCTGGGGTCTTCTTCAGAACAAAAACAGTGTTCTTGAAATGCTCAGGGAAAAAATGAAGGAAGAGGCTTTGAGGACATATCTCTTCACTTATTCTTCCTCTTACAATTCTCTCAATCTGGGTCAACTCGCAAAGATGTTTGAGCTCTCTGATTCTAAGATCCATTCCATAGTGAGCAAGCTGATGATCACAGATGAGCTCCACGCGAGCATGGACCAACCGACACGGTCTGTGGTGTTCCATGATGTTGAGTATACAAGGCTGCAGGCTTTGGCCTTCCAGCTGACGGAGAAACTGGCAGTTCTTGCGGAAAGCAACGAGAGGGCCACAGAGGCAAAGATTGGCGGTGGGTTGGATGGTCTTTCCTTCAACAGACGAAGGGAAGGGCAAGATTATGCCGCGGCGGCTGGTGGTGGCGGCGGTGGTAAGTGGCAAGATTTCTCACAGGGCAGGCAAGGTGGTGGCGGTGGCAGAACAGGTGGGTATAACAGAGGTTTGGGTGGAGCATCCGGTGGCGGCGGTCTGTTCTCCAGGGACGCTAGATCCCACCAGGCACGAGGTTCGAGTGGCTATTCTGTTGGTAATCAAGGGTCACGATACTCGGGTGGTGGGCCCACATCCAGGAGAAACCAGGGTGATGCGTCGGCTCGGATGGTTAGCCTTAACAGGGGGATACGAGCATAGATTCGTCCCCCATTCCAGTCATGGGGGCGTTGTGTGTCTTATTTTAGTTTTGGTTTTCTTTACTCGTACTGTATTTTATTTCTTGATGCTAACCCACGAACCTATTGGCGATGGATTGGGATTGGTTTCTTTTTTTGTTTTTGAATGAATAATCTGTGGTTGCATTTTGTGGTCAAAATGGAAATGTATTCACTTTCAATTTCAATCTTTATAGACATTGTTACCCTGTCTTTAATTAAGAATTTTACATTATTCTCGTTGATTAGTAGGCGGTAGTGTAAAGTCAGTATTTTGCCATAATTTTTTTGTTTTTTATTTTTATTTTTTTTAGTTAATGTCATAAAACAAAACGTAAGGAAATGAGACGGAAGTGGCTATGAGTCAAACGTCATAAAATTTGATGTACTCAGTACATCTTCGCGTAAATTTTGGTGTACCCAAATTACTTTTAAACACAATTTTGTTTTTTGATACTAATAACTTTATTTCAATGTACTATCTAGAAAATTTTTGTTTATTAACGAAGGTTGCTATAAAAAAATTTGCTGAAATTTGGAACTATATCATGATTCAGGAAATGGTAGCCTTCTATTTTTGCCGTCCCCAAAAAATTTCTTAAAAAAATAAAAGGTAAAAAAAGTTATGTGAGGTAAAAAATAAAAGGTAATTAAATACTCTCTCCGTTCATAATTTTTTTTCCATTGTATGTTATGATATTTGACTAAAGCTATTTTAACTCATTTTATATGAAAATTGGTATGAACGGATAGATTATAGTTTTAAATAAATGATATTATACTCGTAAAAGTTTGATATCACAAAACTACAGAGTACATTTTAAAATGAACTCAATTTTAGAAAATTTTCATTACAACTAAATATATTCTTTTTCAAATTTGTGATTAGAGTTTGTAAAATTTGACTAAAAAAATCAAACTAAAGAAATTTTATGGGACTAATGAAGTTTAATTTTACCAAACTTCTTGAACACTAATGCAGTTTTTAAAAAATATTAGTTTATATTATCTACTTGAAAAAAAAGTACAAAAAGGATAAGCTGAGGGTATTTTAGAGAAAAAGTATCCATTGTTGTACAAGAATCCTATAAGCTCAAACAGGGTAATGTTTTAAAATACTCTCTAAGTCGTAATTTTGATTACAATTATTTTTTCTCTCATCTCATCAACTTTTATTTATTTGTATGTTTTCATTGATTATCTGATAAAGTAAAATATTTTTGTCACTTTTTGTTTCATAAAATTTTTGATGTAATTTTTTAATATGTAATTTTCATTTTTTATCAATATACCAATTTGTAAATAAAATAACTTTAAAAAGACGAGAGACTTTGTCTCGTAATCCTAATTTGTACTCCGTAATAAAATTTTGGGACAGAGGGAATATGTGATCACAATTCACAATAGATTTAAGGAGTCAAGATATAATTGACTAACTTATAAGTATAGAGAAATATGAGTTAATTTAGGAATGGAAGAAATACTCTTTTTGTTTTACTTGTCTTTGATGTTGATTTGCTGCTATTGGTTATCTATTTGGTATACTGCATTTTCTTAATTTATTTTTATAGCAATTTCTACTTTGATTAGTTTTATAGACAAACAATAAACCCAAAAACAAAACGAAATTCAACCCAAAACCAAACACAAGTTTTAAACAAAAATCGTTTGACTTGGAAATATAAACTTAAACATATACCAGGCCTGATATCTCTAAAACTGAACCAAAACAAAAAAAAAAATACGTATTTTTACACCGTATCTTTTTAAAAAAAAAAAAGAAAATCACAAACCGATTTACCCTCGCCAAGTAGAAACTTCCAACGACTCGTCACATTTCATTAAAATAAACAATTTTTGATGCACAAGAGAGACACTTTGGTTTCACTGCTAGACAATCATATAGATAGATAGATAAAAGGGCACAAGATTTTCAAGAAATGAGAGTTTTAGGAGCATATGTTCAAAATGTTACATAGAAGTTTCATGGCCAAGAAGGATTATAACCAACAAGAGTCCTAAATAGAAGATCCAATTTTTACCCGCTTAAGACGCAAACTTCTATGCGCGGGTACTTCCCCACGTTTCACCCCACGGGGAATTTTTCGCAGTAACAAAAAGGCATGGACAATGCACCAGCAGCACGATGGCTCAGTCGTGGGGAACATACAGCCATTCGTTCTAAATCCACAGTTAATCCGGACTCGTCAACAAGTATTTCACCCTCTCTGTTAAAAGACACGCTCCGCTCATGCAAATGATGTTAGAGGAAGAGGTGCTAACCTTATGAAACAATTCCGACGATGATTCTCTTGTGAGCAAAAACCAGCCCACAGATGCAACAGCGGAGAACGCGTGCTTGTCATCCAACAGAACTGTTAACCTACGAAAACAGAGTGGTGGAAGTAAGGTCTTTGCGATCAACATTTCCAAGTCACTAGGAAGAAGTTGGTGATAGATCATCAGAAACATCAAAGGAAAGTGTATGAAGGAGTTTGCGATGTGCTTCTAATCATATCTCTTGCAACTTCTACGCTAGACAAAATCTCTTTAATAACCTCAAGGGGAAGTTTCTCTACAAGACCTTCCGGGCACGTACTACCATTACCAGAACAAATACTTGACTGTTTTTCTTACATTCCTCTCCATCAACATTCCAGAAATTCCAATAGATAAATCAGTAATTTAAGGGTCTGGACATGGCAGGATATGGACTAGTGCCATGTTCCATCGCAGATGTTAGGGATAATCAAATCATTGCTAAACATTTGTACATTGGCTAGCACCATCTTTGTTCTAGCAGCAAAGCGACGCCAAGGAAGGCAGCGAAGCAACAAAAGTGGACCAAAACACCGAAACGGAGGGGTTACAATATTAAATGAACCACAACTGAAACTGTTTATTACGATTCATATAATAGGATATGAACCAGAACATAAAATAAAAATAAATTTGAATTCCATATTTTGGCTCAAGCCATAATATATGATTCACACGGTTATGGTCAAATTGAAATCATATTTTTTGAAAAGTAAAAGATAATAAATTTTGTTTCGAGTAAAAAATATAACTTTTTACTGTACCAAAATATAGTTTTGAGTGTCTAACAATCTATTTTACTCATACCCAAGAAGTCACCACACTCCCCAAACACTCCAAAGTTGGAGAAACATATGTGAAATTTTAGATTATTGTAGATTGATTGTCCAAATATTGTGACAAGACTGTTCAACTTTTGTATATATATAAAATTCATATTGTACATATTCAAACGATTCGAAAGAGTACGATTTTACGGCTAAAACCATTCAGTACCATACTATTTTTTAAATCGTATGATATCACTTAATACCAATGTCATATGATATTACTCCGTATTATACAGTATTGTTTGGTATTAAATGACATCATTCAGTTTCAAAAAAATGTGGTACCGAATAGTTTTAGTCGAAAAAGCATATTGTATCAAACGATTCGAATACATATATTTTTCTTAATTTATTTTTATTGCAATTTATAGGTTCATTTCTTTTATAAATAAATGAATAAAATAAAAAATAACCCCAAGGATAAACGGAATTCAACCCAAATCATATTGTATTGTTTGGTGCACCAGTACTCTTAAAAGGAAATAAAAACTTGAGTTTGGACTTTTAGAAAAAAGTAGGAAGATATGCAGCTAACTAAACAGACCGATTGCTAGGACTCATCACATTTCTTTAAAATCAACAATTTTGGATGCACAACACAAATGTTTTGATTTCACTGATACACAATAAAAGAGCACAAGGTTTTCAAGAAATGAGATATCAAATTTTCAGCATCAGATGTTCAAAATGCTAATAAGAGCTTCATGGCCAAAAAGGATTATAACCTAGAAGAGTCTTAAATCAAAGAAAAGTCTTAAATAGAAGATTCAATATACCTGCTTTAATATGCAAATTGGGAGTGTTGGTTTGTTTGGCAGCAGCAATCTCCCAGCTTTGAGGTAGAAGTCGAAATGCGGATACTTCCTAACATTTGGGACATGGATAAAGCAGCACCTTCTCTGCCTGCCCAATCACCAGATGGCTCCGAAGCCATACTGAAGAGGTGTGTTCTGCAAGGTCTCAACATTGTATGTAAACTTCACTTCTATATGTGGATACTTACTCAACATTTCATACATCGATGAGGTGTGCTCTGCAAGACTCATGAAATACTCGGGATCTTCCGATTTTAGAACCTTTCCATGGACAATCAACTTCCTAAGATTTGGACAGCACTTCAGCACCTTCTGTGTCCATTCCGTGAAGTCAACAATACAATCCCAATTAAAACATTCCCATCCAACATCCAGGATGACCACATTCTCCAAGGGAGACAATCCTCTAATGCTATAGTTGACAGGCTCATCTACATCATAGAGTATTGAAAGATGGTTGAGCTGGGGCGAACAAACAGCAATTTGGTCTAAATCCACAACTAGTTCGGACCCATCAAAAATTATTGTAGCATCTCCATAAAATCTCATGCGTTCCCCAATAAAACGCCAAATTCGAAACATTTTCAACTTTGGTGCTTGAACCTTCATCGGGAACAAATTTGACTGAACGACATGACTGGTGACGAATTCTAAAATCTCTAGATTGTCACCCTCTTCAATTTCAAGAAGTGAAAAATGTGATTTAGAAATCTTGAGGTGCCTCAAGTTTTTACTGCCATGAACCTTAAATATGCCAAAACAAGAGTCGTTCACATGCAAATATCCAATATCACAGGTCTCCAAAATAAGTTCAAATACAATGACGCCAATGAAAAGAAGAGTCTTTAATGTAGGTAAATGCAATTTGACTGTTACTTCTTCATGAAAATACTCATCCTCGAATCGAAATTGAGGGTCACGTAGCTCCAAACACTCAAGTTTGGGAAGCCCCAGAAGGAGTCGGTTTAAATCCTCTTCTGAAGTATGGCAATGAATCAGACAAAGTGATGTCAAACAGGGGAATCGATGGAAGACTGGTTCAACCCGATAATTGTTTCTACATATAAACTCAGGGTTTTGAGTTTCTGCCTTCCGCATATATCAAGAACACTAATAGTGGGAGAAGTGAAAACCCCATAAAACAACTCCGACAATGTTTCTCTAGTGAACATTAACCAGCCCAACGCTGCAACAGCTGAAACCTTGTGCCAGTGAGTTGCAATGGATAGTTTTCGCACACCAGTCGTTTGAAATAAGGTCTTTGTGATCAACACTTCCAAGTCAGGCGTAGGAAGTTCATGGTAGACATGATCACCATCAGAAATATCAAACGAGAGTGTGTGAAGGTTCTTGCAAAAAGCTTCTCGCCACTTGCGACGAGTTAGAGAAGCTCTGATGACATCTCGTACAGCTCCTACGCGAGACAATATCTCTCCAATAATCTCAACAGGAAGTTTCTCCACGAGGCCTTCCTCGCTCGTACTACCATTAGGAGAATGATCACCAGATTTCTTAGTTACATTCCTCTCCATCTGCAAACCATATATAAATTCAAACAAGAAAATCAGTAATTGAAGCATGAAGTGGGAAAATCACAGGTATGCATAAAGACCGAACAAACAAACCGATCTTCTAAATTACATTTTAAAGCTTTGAATTTACGAGAAAGCGAATTGAAACAATGAAATAAACAATAATAATTTAAAGAGTGATAAGCACTTACGAATTATCTTGCGACCAATACAAACAAATTTCCAAAGAAGCCTTTCCCTTTCTAGGGTTTGTGAAGGACTTCGAAGATGGAATCTGGATGTCTGCGTGTTTAAAGGGCACTACGCCCTAAACGACATGAGAAAAAGGATTGAGCATCGGTATTCCTTCCAAAAAACTGCTGACAGGTACCCTATTTTGTGGTAAGAACTGCCAGGTACCCGTAATTTTTAAAATATACTCTCAGGTACCCCAAATTATAAAAAAATATACCAAGAGGTGATTTTCCATCCATTCTCCATCTATCCTTCTTTTCTCCGTTAAATACAACCATCATCATCATCCATCATCATCAATCATCATCATCATCATTCCACTACACCATCCCATCTTCGTACTTCCTCCTCTTCTTTTTTTTATTTCTTCTTCTTCTTGTTCTTCTTCTTTCTTCTTCTTCTCTCCTCCTCCCCCCTTTCAACTTTCGATCTTCTGCACCCCGCCCCCATCACTCACCCTTATTTCTTCTCCTTCTATTATTATTATTATTATTATTATTATTATTATTATTATTATTATTATAATGTATGTTTTATTTTTAGTTCTATACCAATATTTAAATAAAATAGATTGAAAAAACTTAGAATTTTTCTTCGTTTTGCGAACCGGGAAAAAAGTTTTAGGACGGAGGGAGTATTATTTCATTGTCCAAATAAACTTCTCTTTTCCCTTAAAAAACCGCTTTTACCCCTTACTTTTTCATACCCTACCTATCACATTATACCTTTTTACTAATAATCTACATATCACATCTTACTTTTACACATCACATCAAGGGTATTTTTGGAAAGTCAACACCAAAATATTCCTCACTTAATTTCCCAAAAAGTCAAAAAAGGAAGTTTATTTAGGGACGGAGGAAGTAACATATTAAGAGCAAGAACTAAAACTCAACACAGAAATCTGAAACCCTCAATGTAACAGGTTTGGAGAGCTCAACATTGAGACCCTAAACCCTTTCTCAATTGAGAATAGGTATCTGCTTCAGCAGATCCAGTACGCACTCCAGCCGATCTGATCCCCGTTCCAGCACATCCGGTCTCAACTCTACCCCCCTCTACACCTTGACCCCAAGAGACCTACGTGCTACAAAACTTGGAGAACGAAGCGGTGGAAGTTTTACAAGATGAAAAAAATGAATATAAGGAACTTGATAAACATTATGGAAGACCCGCGTTAAAAAAAGAGAAAACGTACTCTTGATTGAAGAGATGTTATGTTTCTCACTAGTTTTTTTACGCATAGAGACTCTAGCGATGATTGAGAAAGGATTTAGGGTTTCAGTAATGAGTTCTCTATACCTGTTACATTGAGGGTTTCAGATTTCTGTGTTGAGTTTCAGTTCTTGCTCCTGAAATGTTACCTATTTATTAGTAGACAAGTTGAAAGGATAATCTACGCTAAGACAGGTCATGATTAATAGATATCGTCTTCTCAAAGGAAAAAAAAAATCTCCCTCTGTCTCGGGTGTTTTGTCCGGTATTGCTTTTAGGGCCGTCCCAGTGTATTTGTCCACTTTCTATTTTTGGAATAACTAAAGTTTTCAAAAAGTCTATTTTGCCCTCCTCTTAAATTTATACACTATGTTCAATTCTGTTCTCTATCTTCAATCTATCTCGGGATCGTGCCACTTCCACAAGATCCGGAGACTAGTGCCCTTGTCTTTTTCCCTAATCCATCAGCGGAGCAACGACAGAGACGATGACAGATGTTAAGGATCCATCTCTGGTTTTAAGGGTCTGGGCATCACAAGATATTGACTAGTGCGCCATGTTCCATCGCTGATGTTAGGGATCAAATTCTAGGAATCAAATCCTTGCTAAACATTAGAGCATCGGCTAGCGCCATCTTCGTTCTAGCAGCAAAGCGACGCCAAGGTGGCTCCATCACAAGAAATAGCTTGATGGAATAGCAATAAACATGACGGTGAGTCCGAGGTCAGAAGCTGATTTGTGATTGGCCGGGGCAAATTTGTAATTGGGAAGGGCTTGGGTTCATAAATTTTGAAGATAAGAGGATGCAGAGTTGAAGATGAAGACAGGTTTTTTTTGAGATTTGGAGGGCTTTGAGACATTTCAATCAACTCAACCCCTCCTTGGATTTGTGTCAAAACGAAAGTGGACGAAAACACCGAAATAGAGGGAGTAAAATATTAAATGAACCACAACTGAAACTGTTTATTACGATTCATATAATAGGATATGAACCAGAACATAAAATAAAAATCAATTTGAAATCCATCTTTTGGCTCAAGTCATAATATACGATTCACACGGTTATGGTCAAATTGAAATCATATTTTTTGAAAGGTAAAAGATATAAATTCTGTTTCGGGTAAAAAATATAACTTTTTTACTTTACCAAAATATAGTTTTGATTGTCCAAAATATTGTGACAAGATGTTGTGACAAGACCGTTCAATTTTTGTATATATAAAATTCATATTGTACATATTCAAACATTTTGATAGAGTACGATCTTACAGCTAAAACCATTCAGTACCATACTTTTTCAAATCGTATGATATCATTTAATACCAATGTCATATGATATTACTCTGTATTACTCCGTATATAGTATTGTTTGGTATTAAATGACATCATTCCTTTTTTAAAAAATGGTACCGAATGGTTTTACTCGAAAAATCATATTGTATCAAACGATTTCAATACAATCCATTTGAAAATATATATTTTTCTTAATTTATTGTTAGCAATTTATAGGTTCATTACTTTTATAAACAAATGAATAAAAAAAATAACCCCAAGGATAAACGAAATTCAACCCAAATCATATTGTATTGTTTGGTGCACCAGTACCTCTTAAAAGGAAATAAATACTTTAGTTTGGACTTTTAGAAAAAGTAGGAAGGTAGGAAGATAACTAAACAGACCGATTGCTAGGACTCATCACATTTCTTTAAAATTAGCAAGTTTTGATGCACAACACAAAGGATTATAACCTACAAGAGTCTTAAAATCAAAGAAGAGTCTTAAATAGAAGATTCAATATACCTGCTTTAATATGCAAATTGGGACTGTTGGTTTGGTTGGCAGCAGCAATCTCCCAGCTTTGAGGTATAAGTTCGAAATGCGGATACTTCCTAACATTTGGGACAAGGATGGAGGAGTACCTTCTCTGCCTGCCCAATCACCAGTCGGCTCCGAAGCCATACTGAAGAGGTGTGTTCTGAAAGGTCTCAACATTGTATGTAAACTTCACTTCTATATGCGGATACTTGCTCAACATTTCAGACATCGATGAGGTGTGCTCTGCAAGATTCATCAAATACTCGGGATCTTCCGGTTCTATAACCTTCCCATGGACAATCAACTTCCCAAGATTTGGACAGCACTTCAGCACCTTCTCTGTCCATTCCGTGAAGTCAAGGACACAATCCCATTTGAAACGATCCCATCCAACATCCAAGATGACCACATTCTCCAAGGGAGACACTCCTCTAAAGTTGTAGTTGACAGGCTCCTCTACATCATAGAATATTGAAAGATGGTTGAGCTGGGGCGAACAAACAGCAATTTGGTCTAAATCCACAACTAGTTCGGACCCATCAACAATTATTGTAGGATCTCCATAAAATCTCATGCGTTCCCCAATAAAACGCCAAATTCGAAACATTTTCAACTTTGGTGCTTGAACCTTCATCGGGAACAAATTTGACTGAACGACATGACTGGTGACGAATTCTAAAATCTCTAGATTCTCACCCTCTTCAATTTCAAGAAGTGAAAGATGTGATTTAGAAATCTTGAGGTGCCTCAAGTTTTTACTGCCATGGACCTTAAATATGCCAAAACAAGAGTCGTTCACATGCAAATATCCAATATCACAGGTCTCCAAAATAAGTTGGAGAGCAATGACACGAATGAAAAGAAGAGTCTTTAATGTAGGTAAACGCAATTTGACAGTTATTTCTTCATCAAAATACTCATCCACTTGTCCAAATTCGGGGTTACGTAGTTCCAAACACTCAAGTTTGGGAAGAGCCAGGAGGACTCGGTTTAAATCCTCTCCTGAAATACAACAACAATTTAGACAAAGTGATGTCAGATAGGGGAATTGATGGAAGACTGGTTCAACCCCAACAACTTTTATGGCATATAAACTCAAGGTTTTGAGTTTTGGCATTCCGCATAGATCAAGAACATTAATAGTGGGAGAAATGATAACCCTATAAAACAACTCTGACAACGTTTCTCTGGTGAACATTAACCAGCCCAATACTGCAACAGCTGAAACCTTGTGACTGTGAGTTGCAATGGAAAGCTTTCGCACACCATTCGTTTGAAATAAGGTCTTTGTGATCAACACTTCCAAGTCAGCAGTAGGAATTTCGTGGTAGACATGATCACCATCAGAAACATCAAAGGAAAGTGTAGGAAGGTGCTTGCGAAAAGCTTCTCGCCACTTGCGACGAGTTAGAGAAGCTCTGATCACATCTCTTGCAACTCCTACGCGAGACAATATCTCTCCAATAATCTCAACAGGAAGTTTCTCAATGAGGCCTTCCTCGCTCGTACTACCATTAGGAGAATGAACACGAGATTTCTTGATTACATTCCTCTCCATCTACAAACCATATATGAAGATTTCTTAATTACATTTCTCTCCATCTACAAACCATACATAAATTCAAACAGAAAAATCTGTAATTCAACAATGAAGTGGGAAAATCACAGGTATGCATTAAGACCGAACAAACAAATTCCGATCTTCTAAATTACATTATAAACCTTTAAATTTACAAGAAAACGAATCGAAACAATGAAATAAACAATAATAATTTAAAGAGTGATAAGCACTTACGAATTATCTTGCGACCAATACAAACAAATTTCCAAAGGAGCCTTTCCCTTTCTAGGGTTTGTGAAGGACTTCGAAGATGAAATCTGCGTGTTTAAAGGGAACTACGACTTAAACGACATGAGCAAAAGGAATGAGCATCGGTATTAGGCGTGGAGATGCTCCATTTTAACCACCCACGAGGCCACGACATTCATATGCGTCAAAACACCCTAATAAAATATATTTTATTCCATTATTTTC